GAAAGTTGGCTCAGCCCAGCTAAGGAGAAATAGATCCTTAGGACACAGCCTTACTTAACCAGAAAATTCACTAGCAATCAGTGAATGAGAGCAAGGGCTTCTGCATTTAGCTGAAAGTAGCAATGATGTTTTTCTTTAGTCCAGAAAATGAATTTCATTTATTATAGTCTTCCAAAGAAAGTGGGACAGACGCTTGGAGCAAACCCCACTGGTTCTGGCCTTGTTTATCTGTGTAAGAGAAATAGCCTAGGAACAGGAATGACCTTTACAGATGCTACACTTTTTTCATGCATTCCCTGGAGAAGTGCATGTCAGTCCCATTCAGTTGCAAACTGTACCAGGGTTAATTAAATGGAGGGCTTTTTTTTTTTCTCCGTGTCTTTCATAAGTGGATGATTTTGACATGTGCTATGATCTGTATTGAATATGATTTGTACACATCAGTTTGAATTCTTAACTGTGAAATAGCCTTGTCTTCTAGTTTTAATGAGTTAAAATTGAGATTTCGGGATCTGCTTCCAGGCTGACAAGGGAGGTTAACGGAAAAGGATGAGTTAGCTTTCCTATTGGACTTGATTTACCTTTTACTAGTATGTCTAGGAAGAAGAATGTATTATATTGCAGATGAAGGATTAGGGACAGGCTCATGCTAGTATTAGAAACTTTGAAGTGTAGACCAAATCTCCAAGGATTTAATGAGTACTTAGACACAGCAGATATGAAACAAATAAAAAGGAAATGCTCTTTTATCCAACTCATAACTAAACTATGAAACTCTGTCACAGGACTTAGAGGAGGTCAAAGCTATAAATATGTAAGGTGGGGGGGAAGATTAGTCAGATGGGTCATAGTTAATCCTATTTAAAAAAAAACAACCCTGCTTATTAGAATAGCAAAATAAATATTCTGTATTTTCCAGAAGAGTGAAGGTAAATAAAGACAAAAAAATCTGCTCAGTTAACTGCATGCTCCCATCCCAAATTTTAGTCCGAATTAGAGGCAAAGTCCTTTATTTCTTATTTTGTACTGGTTTCTTGTGTAGCTTTCATTTTAAATGATGATCCATCCCATCTTAAAGCAGATACACTTGTCTGACAAGAAACATATTGCCCCTATTTATCATATAAAACTCCAGAGACAGTTACTGAGTATGTGCTTTCTGGGCACTGTGAACTGGTGGGGTTTTCTTGTCTCCCAAGATGGAAAACATCCTAGACACATTCCTGGAATATGCACAATTTGGATTGAATGTGTGTTATCTTATGCCTGAATGGCTACAGAAATTTCAGGGCAACAGAAAAGCCATCCTCTCCAATGCTTTTATAAACTTCTAGGAGGTGGCTAGTAGCATTCCTCTGCTTTTACACTGGATTATTCATCAGAAACAGCTGCTTCTCCATGCATCTGTGACATTGGGGTGGGTCAGCTAACAGAGACCTGTGTCAATCACATGTATGTTGAGATCTGTGATAAAAGGCAATAGAAAGGCAAAGAATTACATTGCTGTCCTGAATTTTCACAGCTAAGTGCGTAGAAGTGCTGACAACTACTCTCAAAGTTTCTTCCTCTGCCAAGAAAAGCCAATGGCCACATCTCCATCCCACAGGGCTTTGCTACATGAAAACAAAAGACTGCATTGTAAGGTTTTTATAGCGTGGTGATAATGTAGAAACCCTAAAAAAAGTGAGCAAATATGGTTGCCGAACGATCATATTTTTCTTCTTTCAAACACAGGGACAGGAGATACAGTTGCAGCAGCAATCACAGAAATGGCTTGGGGTTATCAAAACAATTGCAGCACACATGAACAAACACTTCAGCCTTGCCAAGCTAAACTAGCCTAAGCTTTTTGCTTGGCCAAGCATGCTCCCAGCTGATTGCCTTCGGCAGGTCCGTGTGTGTCATCTGGCAAGGCAGAGGGAAGGCGAGAGGTGCAGCCCAGAACAAAACGTGATGGCCAGTGTGGGCTGTACCCTCACTGGGTTCCCTATAATGGCATTTTCTTTCTTGTACTTGAGTAATTGTTTCTGTGTGAGCAGGTGTAAGGCACTGCCTTTTGGCTCTGGGACCTTGCTGTTCCCACTGGGCACTGGCTTTGCTCACTTGTGTGACATGGCACAAAGATCCCATTTGCTTCGCTGCCTTCAGTACCCAGTAATAAGGTTCTCATACATATACAGCGGTAACTATAAGAATCCAAAAGGGAGAGGGAAAAGATTTGTACTGTTTGTAGACCAAAAGCCTTTCTAGAGCTGGGCAGTGAGACAGAAAATATGTTTTTTGTAAGACTTGAACTTTGAAAGTTTGTACAGGCTCTAAGGCAGAGAGAACTAAACTTTCCCCATCTCTGCACTTGTCCAAACTAACCAATCTATGTTGCCAGCTTACAGGGTGTTCAGTTGCTCTTAGAAGTGCACAGCACTTAAAAATGGAAGGAATCTCTTTTTTTTTTTTCCCCTTTTGGACTCTGATAGAAAAAAAAATCTTGATCTGTTTATAGAAATCAGTTAGTTTGCATGTATGTTTGTTATGAGAAGAAATGCAAATGTATGAAAAACAGCCATCTCTTCATTTCCAAGTCTGTAATCTCAAAAGTTTCTAATGATACTGGCTGAGAAGTTGTGTTTGAATGCTTAGCTGGACCAAATATGTTGGACAGATTATCCTAATGTTTCATGCCAATGCAAATGAGAGAAACTCCACTGAAACCCATGATGTTCCACCAGAATAACGTTAGAGGAGGGAATGAGGCCACTTCCAGTAGGTCTATTTTGGATCAGACATCTGAAGTTTCTCAGCACCCAATTGGTTTGGGTTAAGGGGTTTGATTCAAAAGGAGGTCTGTTGACAAGTGCCACCCCTCACGCCAATCAAAACATATCTGAACACGTGGCTAGAGAAGTCTTCGTGTATTTTGGTGCATTGTACATGCTGTGTCAGTATTTGTTGTGTCAAGAGATGTATAAGAAATTATGCTGTCTCCATCTTCAACCAAGGATCAGCACTTGGAGTAAACCATGCTGATACCCATGATTTCCTTTTCACAGAGCAGTGCTCTGATGCAGACAACTTTTCATCCACTTTTCATCATTTGCTTTCCATCAGGGAAAGAACTGGTATCCCCCAGCGCTGCAAGCACAAGCTAGGAAGCTTGGGGTAGACAGAGAGCTGTGTGCTGTGTCAGACACTCACCAGCTCTGCTAGTCAGCCAGAGCCCCTCTGGGGCATCACCCCTCCTTTCTCCCTAATGTGGTCAGTGGCGTTACAGCCGTAGCCTGACCCATGGGTCTGCTGCATCAGAATGAGTGATCTCGTGGGCATCGGGTGCACCTACCATGCTTCTCAAATGTCATTTCATGCTTCCACATGTGCTTTGTGCTTCAGTACATGTAAACAAAGATTCAGTGTTGATTCCTAAGCACGGAAGTTCTTTAGTAGGGGTTCCCTGAGGGCACTGTAGGCCACTGAAAAAAAAGCCCTGCTGCCCAGGAACAGGTAGTGGCAGAGCTCTACAACCTTCATTGCTCTGGCTGAAGTACAAAGAGCTGATCCAGCCCCGATCTCCTCCCTAGCCAGAGGCACATGCTCTTCATGTGCTGGCTACATTGCATGACTCGGGCTTTGCAGAGGAAAATAAAGAGTGAGCTCATCAGAGAAGGAAAAATACCAGTGAGAAGAATTGTTGTAAATATTTGTATCTTCAGGGCTTTTAATGTGGTTGTCATTTTCCCTTTCTGCAGTTAAACAGTCAAGCTGTTATTGTTTGGGACTGATTTTTTTTTTAAGGGCAATTTTTAAGCCTATACCTCTGTACTCTATGCCTAGGCAGTCTCTACACCTAATACCCAGTCCTGAGAGGAGCTGAGGATACTCAGTGCTATCTCCATAGGCACTCAGCACCCTGATAGCATCTGACTCGTGGCCTGGTGTGTAAAGAAAGAGCTGCCTCATCCAGATGGACTTAAGACTACTGGAGAAAATCCATCCCTGGGGCAATTGCATTGATATGCCTGGCTGGATTCAATCTGTTGACTGCAATGGCTGTGCGTTGGGGTGCGTCTCGTGTAAGGGAAAGATATTTGACATGCCTGTATGCAACTGCTTTCCCTTTGGAAGGCTCTCTGTTGCTCTTGGAGTGGAGGGCTGTGATAATAGCCAACTGCCTGCTGAGCCCTAGATGCAAACTTTTTGCATGAAATAATAGCCTCACGCCCACATAAACTTAAATTGTTTCTATGGAGAATATCCTGGACCATTCTAAAACCTCACCCTGCTTGCTTTATTGGAAACCCTAGGAGAGCCTCAAACATATATGTATATTTTTTATATTTTTTTCAAGCTTGTGAGAGTGAACTATGTTAGCCTGATAATGTGAAAAGCATTTTTTATGAGAGCATGAGGTGGTACAGCCTTCTGGAATGAAGTATGGGCCTGGGAGACAAAGGCTAGGAGTTTATTATTGCTTTGCAATGTCTCTAGGGTATTTTACTTCACCTTGGTTTTGCTTTCCAGTCTTTGTTCAGACTGTAAATTATTTGAGGCAGGATTTGTACACGTGTGCAGCAGCTAGTAGAAGGAGACGCTGATTTTTAGCTTGGTTTTTCAGGCGAAACAGTGATTGCTATCTGTTCCTTAGAGCCAGCACTGACTGTGGCTCCCACTGGGATTAGGAGGCTGGAGAATCAAGGATATATGGTTTTGAATTTGCTGTTACCTCACATACGGCAGGGGTCACGTAGTGAGCAATATGAGTATGGAGCTGTAATTAGGAAATGTCTACATGGCAGGGCTTTGGGATGCCTCCTGTTTCCCCTCTTGCTCTCAGTGACTGAGACACCAGTAGCACACAGAGCCACCCTGTAATCACGCAGTATTCTAAGTTCAGAGATGTTTGCAGCAGCATATCCTGCTGTTTTCTCGTTTGGTTTTTAAGTAATATTTGAATTGTGCTAAATAACAAATAATGAATTTACTATTCTGTTTCTCTTTGATGCTTCTAGATCATCAAAGAGCCCCCTCCCCCTCCTGCAGAAGACAGTGAGGTAAGTAACACTGACAACCTGATTTCCTCAATGTTTAGGACAAGATTCTGTTCAGTCTCCTCTCAAGAGGTTGTGATTCTGCTGCGTGGCAGAGCACTGACCATTTAGACCTTTGTTCTCAGCTCTGTAGCCTTAAAGTCAATAACGATTTAGCTAAATTAGGGGCTTTGTAGCTGATGTCTGCCATGTGTGTTTTGCTCTGCCCGCTTTGCTTTCTATGGAGGTAGAGATGTGGTGTTTATTTGTTTAAGAGTGACGGTACATCTATGTATACAGTACCTCCATGGAGCAGGTAAGAAAGGTGGACCAAGGCAGACAATACTTTCACTTGGTTGGAACTGCACTACAGAGTTAAGTTGTGATTTACAAAAAAGACAACCCTTAAGCATATGTTTAACTTTGAAGTTAATGGAACCTAAACATATGCTTAACTGCCTCCCTGGAATGGTATGGCAATGATTTTGATGGTTTAGCATATATAACCACTCTTGGCAGCTGAGTGGAAACTCACAATTCTGATCCCTTGGACTACAGTTGCTGTGAATAAAGGCAGCCCACAGTCTTTGCAATGTGTCTGAAGACAGTGGACCAGATTCTGAGCAGATGTGAAAATCCAGTAAAATCATCTTGACATCAGAAGAGCCGCACTAGACAGGGAAGTTTTAATGGAGAGAAACAGTAAAGCAACATTAAAACCTTCATCTTAATTCTGCTTATTCTTTTTCTTAATTCTGCTTACTCCTTTTAGATGAATCTGGCAACAAATGATTTAAAGCTACGTCACCATTACTTAATTAGTAGACTCTGCCCAGAAACGTGCCTGGTTTTTCATCTGTGACTTTCTATGTCCTTCTGCTTTCAGCATGGAATGAGTCTTTGCTTTCACTGTTTTGCACGTGGGATTTCATTGAAAAGTCACTGGGGTGTGTTCAGGGTGCATTGATGTCAATAGGAGTTTTTCCGTTGACTTCACTGGGGTTTGGATCAGTTCCTCTTAACTATGCACATAAGAGAAGACTTAGATCTATGCTGAGAGTGATTTGGTTGGTTAATTTGCCTCACTTCTTGTGTCTGGAGACAAATTCATTGCTTGCTTCAGCTTGCAAGTGAAAAAGCTTGCTGAAATGATCCTCTCTGTGCTCTCCATAAAGTCTGGCCCAGCAAGTGCGCTCTGTGCCAAGGCAGACAGACACCCGTAAAGCTCAGTCTTCTGCAACACTACGGACGTGGAATCCAACCTAGCTTCTGCCTGCACTGAGCACAGAGAAACAGTTCAGGGCAGCTGGAGACAAGGCCAGTACTAGAACCTCCATCTTGGTGGCCCTCATCCCCTTCAAAACAGGCCTGAAGCAGAACTCCAAATCTGAGCATTCCTGGACCCAAGGGAGACTTGTGTTTGGATCCAGTGCTCCCTATACCTTTATATGTGGGCATCTGGCCTGTTTTCTGAAGTAGACATTTCTGTTTGGGCTGTATGTAAATCCACTAACATTGTTAGCTTCTGTCTTCTGAGTGAAAAGGAAAATATTAACCCGAAATTGCACATGCTCTGTTCGGCATCACACATGCCTCCAAGCCAAGGGATTCAATTGCTGAAATTAATTAAAATACATCATTCTGGAATGTTGGCTCACTGGCCAAGGACTCGGAGGGGAAATTACATCTCTGCTAAGAGAGAAGGCGTGCTTTTATCAAACCAGTAAGTGCCGCAAAAGTGGATCAGTTGCTGCAAAATAAACTAGTTGCAGCAGACCAGTTATGTTTGCCTCAGGTGAAGTTTAGTTAAGCTGGTGTAAAGGTATTTCTGGACATGTTATATTTTGTCTCCGCCCGGATTCTGACAAGAAGGAACAGTCTGTGCAGCTCTTTAGATGAAACAGTCCTCAATTCATCTGTCTGTTTCACAGCTTTCCTTTAGCAATGTGTTTGCCACTGGCTTTTTATTTTAAACTATCCTGGTCTTGTACTGTGGAGAACGTGGGGCAAATCCTTCTTGTATAGAAGACTGTTGTTCTGCTTGCTCTCCGGCTTGCTCCCCACAGCTGATGGCTTTAAATGCAGACTTTGGTTGTACCCAGAATACAGCACTGCACAGTGCCTGAAAAATTGCATTAATACCTGTAGTTTACCTGCTTCCTCATTAATGCAAGAGGAGATCTGTACAATCTTTTGCCTATTATCCTTACAGTTTTGGGACCCTGGGGTGGGCGGCTTTGGTTACAACAATGTGCCCACATTGTAGGGACTAGTCTGATGGTATAATTTCACACGTACTCTCCACCAGAGCACAGTCCCTAAGCTCAATACTCAGTTATCCTATAGCCATCTTACACAATTTCCAGCTAAAGATTTCCTAAAAGGGAAAATGTAGTTTATACTATTTTAGAAACTGTATAGTATCAGAGCAGTGCTCAAAAATTAGTAAGGCTTGAAGCTGTGGCTTGTACTATGTGTTTTTTTCCCAGATAGAAGAGCTTCCCACTAGTGGAAAAATAGCAGAAGCTCTGAAAAGTTGCGTTTCGTTGGTCTCGTTTACTCTTATAGAGCCTGGTCCACAGAATGGGATTGGCAGTAGTATGATGCTTTCACAGAATGTTGGATACTCCAGATTTTCTACTTTGGTCAAAACAAATAGAAGATGGAGCTGATTTTCTACAATCCAGTTTTTCTTACGTGTTGCAGATGTCTTTCTCCATTGCACAAAACCTAGCAACTGCCCGTCTCCAGCATGAAAGAGTGCTAATCCCTTAAGCAGCAGCATTACAGTTACAGTAAGAATTTTTTCTTCTCCCAAAATTCTTGGCAAAAAAAAGACAAGAGGAATTCTTGCATCAGCAGATTTGGGAGCTGAGGCCCATATGTCTTTGCACTGCAAGGAGAATGCATTATACTGTAACAATGAAGGGAAAGTAGCATTGCTGTCAAACCCGCCAAAGGTTTTATTGAACTCTACTTTAAAGGCCTTTTGAGACATATTGGAGACATGCTCACTGTTGGTGAAGGAAATCATTATTGGCTAGAAACTTCCAATTAATTCATTCAGAAATTGCAAATGTCGTCAACTTACCGCTGTGCTCCTCAGACAACGCAGGATACTGGAGGAGGTTAAGCCCAGATGAAGGACAGATGGTTTTACTTACAGCCAGGAAAGGTTGAGTTAATGCCAATCAAAAAAAAGGAGCCAGTGAGCACCTTTCTGGCCTGTGATTAGTCATTGATGGTGGATCAAAACCACATTCTTCTACCTCCAGTGAATAGGAAGGCTTTTTCTAGTCCTGCTGGAGGAAGACACAGCTGCTTTTATTCTTGGTCGCATCACCTTCAGGCCGGGCTTATTGAAACAACTCTTACTCAACTCAGACTAGAAGCTTACCATGAAGCTGAAGCTGGGTTTTGCTATAGCGACCTATCTTCTACATCAAAAAAACCCAGCCTATAGGGCTCTGCAGCTTCCAACAATTTCCTGTTCACTCCCTGACCTATGCCAGAGGTCTGCTGCTAGTCAGTCTCACAGAAGGACAGGCTCTGACTGCAATCGGAGCACGCATAAACTGGAGCCCTCCAAAGTATCCCCAAGAGGCACGCTCTCTTCTCATTGCTTCCTTGCCCTGTAAACAGAGACCAGGCAATGTTAAAAGACACTGCTGGATCTTAATTTTCTGTTATGGCAGCGCTTTCTCCCGCAGAAGGGAATCAGGGACATGCAGTTCACTGAAGTCTGGCAAAACCAGGCAGGAGATCTACCGATTGACCAGAGCATGCCCTTTCCTCATTGCTCAGACCCATTTTTTTCTGTGCTGCTCTATCACCCAAGCTCCATAGTCGCAGTCCTAGCGTGGCACCAGAGCCAAGCCACCAACCAGCTTGTAATTGGATAATTCTTATGTCTGTTGTCATCTTACCCACATACACCAAAGCAAACACACACAAGAAAGCCCTGGAGAGGAAGGACCATTCAGCGGCACAGTCACAAGATGCTGAAGGTAATTATCACTGTCATGGGAAGCTGGCGTGAAAAGGAGGAATTGAACTCCCTGCATGGCAGCTATTGTTAAGCCAACAGATGAAACCACCTGTTCAGCTTGAAACACTTTGATCTTTATGAACGAATCTTTCTCCCACGACTGAACATTCACGAGGCCAGAGGATGGCTAAAAGGGATTCTTCTGCTCGGGAAGCTGCTTGCACCCTCACTTACTGGTGTTTATTAATCTTTTCCAGATTGTTTTCCCCTCTCTTTCTGTAAAGCCTTGCTGGGGAGATAGATAGCAAAATAAGTTCCAGAGAAAGGATCTGATAGGAATTTTTTGTAGACACCAAGGCAGGAAATGTATTCTGTTATTCCTGAAATAAAGCCAGGTCACAGTGGTATGCCAGTTCGTTTCCTTCCCCTTTACTCCCCTTTTACAGTGAGTTGTGGAAATATGGGAGGAGGAGAAAAGGAACCTTTCAAGAGACAGGCATTTAGAAGAAAAAGATTTGGGATGCTATTGGCAACAGATGGGGTGTAGGTATTACACCATGAAGGTGTGGAGTTTTATAACCAAATTTCACGTGAAATATCTAGGCAGGCCCAGGACAGCAAACTGGGTTAATGTGGAGGCTGTGAAAGTTGGGTTTAATCACATCACATTTGCAATAGGAGCGCCAGTGTTAATTCCCTTGACCTTATGAGACCTTCTTTCATCCCTGTAGCTCACTGTCTGAGCTGTAGAGTTGGAGTAACTCAACGTCCTTTCTTCTTCATCAAAACGGGGGTTCTCTCAACTGTGCGCATGCACTGCTTTGCACTTGGAGGATGTAACTTCAGGCAGGATCTTTAAGAATCTGTACCACAGATAAACTAGGAGTTTCTGTGATCGGTAAGACCAACAAAGGCTGGTTTTCTAAGCATTTGTGTCTCAAGGATAAGCCGGATTTTTTGGTGCCTTATGAGAGTTGAGGTCTTTCTCCAGCCTGCTCCTTAGTAGAGCACCAGTAGAACATTTTCTCTCAGATGCACCTGTGACCTGTGAGTGCTTTCTGACAATAATTTGCAGGCTTGGGACAGTGACAGGTAAAGATAAAAGAAAAAACAAAGTGGTAAGTTTATGCAGTTGCAATTTAGATGCCTGACAGAGTATAATGTAACAAGCAAAACCTTCCACCTCAGAGAGGAAGTGTTTCTTGAGAACCGCGCAAGGTGTCCTCAAAGTGTAACAAGGCTTGTGCATCTGGGGGCTGGCCATGCGATTTGGAAATGAGTCTGGTGTTGGGAGAAAAAAGGAGGCAGTAAGGAGCCAGAAGCCTTGAGGTCAGCGTATTCACCCCCGTGTTTCCTCAGCTGTAAAATTAAATGATAACATCTCTTACTCAGGAATGATTGTCCTGTCGTGTCTTACAACACTTTGTGCAGGCAGAGCTCTCTATAAATGCTAAATTCTGATAAGATTCAGGCATTGCAGAGACAACTGTGAAAATAATTATAAGGGTGGGGAGAGGCATAAATTGTCCAAACTTTTTTTTATATCTGGCCAAATTTAGTTTGAATTCTTACCCTGAGTGGTTCAGATGTCCCTAGCGGAGCCTGAGTTATCCTTGTGTTGCCCACAGATGAGGTTCTCTCGGGTCAGGGTCAAAGTATACAGAGGCCAGCATGGACTTCGAGATAAACACAGATCTTTGTTGTCTGAAATCCAGCAGTTATGAATCTGGATCTCTGACTGTGAAATGCAGCTCCGTCCTGCTGCTTCTTTTTTTAAAAGAAACTCTAGCTCCATCTAAAGCAGATTTTGGGGGTGGAAAGATGCCAAGTTCTGTACAGTCAATTTCCAGCATCCTTAAATGCACTTGAATTTTCCGGGGCTGTTTTTTATACTGCTGCTGGGTCAGAGCTGAAGTTCCTTATGCAGTTCTTCCTCAGGCAAAAACCCCATTGTAGCGAAATGTAGAAAAATATGGGCAAAACTGAGCCAGGATGTGAGAATTCAGCCCTGTTTTATTGGATCAGATCTTGTGAATGGGGCAGTGAGCTAGGATGCTGCACATGGGGATTGCATGCTTCTTCCTTCCCATTTTCCTGCTGTCTCCCTGCCTTGACCCCCAAGTTTCCAGTTGCTTTCCTTTAGCTACTTATGTGTGTTGTGAGCATATTTGCCAAGCGTCTAGGTCATGACTGGTGGGGCTTTTTTGCTTGTATTGCAAAACCTCCCATGCCCTTCAAAACATGTAAACAGATTCATCCTGAAGAAAGCTTGTGACTCCTTTGTTTTTCAAGTGTCCACTGTTGTCTTTTTGTGCGTGTGCTGTTTCTGTTGTTCTGGCAGAACCACTCCTATCTTGAAGTGGCTTGCAGGGCTTTTAAGGGCTTGTGGGGAAGATTTCCTAAATCTTGGTATTTCCTGTTGTGAGAAGTCCAGTTTGTGCTAAACTGAAGAGAGAGAAAGAGAATTGCTGAAGGAAAATATTTAGATGGCTTTGATTCCAATTTTTTAAAAAAGTCCTCATGGAAAACTTCATGCAGAGATATTAAGTTCTTAGGTTGCAGCTAAGAGCCTCAGCAGCTCTAACCAGAGCAAGAGAAAGAGGTCAGCTATGAAGGAGAGGAACCTTGTATTTATGACTCAATTGTTCACTTCTTCAGATCGGGTCAAATTTTGCAGCCGAATTTATGTGTATTTTGAAAAACAGAAATGCTTTTGTTTGACATGAAAAGCATCGTTTGTCTTGGATCTTTTCCCCCAGTTTTTCAGTTTTCCTACTGGGGAGTTCAATTTCAAATTGTTTTTGGCTTTTCCAGTTTTGGAAAGCTCCTAAGTGTTGGAGTTTTGCCAAATCCCTGTGAAAAATTAAAGAAAGAAAAAAAAGAGAGCATGCATTTTTCATTTCTCTCCACATTTTTTCACAGGAAATACTTCACATTTTTGATGAACTCTGCTTTTCTGCTTTGCCAGTTCACAGCCTGAACTGTAGAAATTAAAGAGAAAGGCACTGTATAGGTCAGAGCATATGTGGACTTATATAGTGCAAGAATATAGGATATATAGAATACAATCACTAGAACTTTAGCTAGACTCATTTTAAATAAACTTAAGGAGATTTTCTTGATTTATTAATTTGGCTGTATCTGAATGTCATCATGAAGGCCAGGATCCTGAACACATTTGACTTTGTGTATGGTGACGTACCATGGGTTTCTGCCTGCAGTATGTAAGGGTAGAACACATTCGTATTTGTACAGAATTTAAATCTCATTTTTCACACAGGGCCTGGCTTTCTGCTGGCATAAGCTGTGAAAATCACTGAAGCCACATGGACTTCCATGGGCAGCCTCCCTAGCAGAGGCAGAAGTTCATTATAGAGCTAATTCCATTCTTGTAACTTTTCCATTAAACTTTTCCATCCTATTACACTTGGCCAGCTCACCTCAAAAAAAACTCATCTCCAAGTTGGGCATTCACGCTGGGGTTGTTTCCAAATGTACTCCCAATTTACCTTCAATCAGGAGCAAATTGACTTGTTTGCTTTCTTGCTTTTCCCTTCATTCTGTCAAATCTGAACTACAATACGATGATTTATCTGGGCACTGGAGGGTTCCTCCAGCATGGGGAGCCATGAGTGAGGGAACACTTCTCAGAGCAGCAGCTGTTCTCTCCCTAATCACAGGCATAAGCGAAGGGATGGCAAAGAGGTGAGTTCCTGCTACCATCAGTTATGGCTAGCATATCAACCAGACTTGCAGCCAAGAGAACCCAGTTCTTGAACTATGCTGACTGCTATTTTGGTGGCTGCTTCAATGATTTTGCAACTTGGAAACAATTTACTTCCCTGAATTTAAAGATGATGAAAGATAGTGTCTCCTTTTAAAAAAAAAAAAAAAAAAAA